TGCAAAGCCCCGCACGTGCCCAAGCCGTTACCGGCCCCGCTGCGCAGCTGGAACCACCCCGCCAAAATGCACCACGCGTTTAATTAGACATGCCTCGTGCTTAATTACTGCCAGGCACCGCAAGGGCCTGGGAAAAAACCACGCCGCGCCAGAGATCGTAACGCGCCTGGCACGGTCTGCGTCCAGCTCCTGAGCTCCGGCGCCTGGGCTGGATCGAGAACGAAAATGCCGTCATCCCCAGTAGTTTCTAATCCTATTTTGGCTGGAAAGTTATGCACTGAGATGTTTGCAATTAATTCCCCTCCTCCACAACCCTCCGGCCTTTTTTTGTTGCAGAAGAAAACACAACTGAAGCGCACGCAATAAATCTTTCCTGCAGCAAAAACATTAGCGTGCGAGGAATCAAAAAAAAAAAAAAAGGGAAAATGGAAAGCAAGAGCAGCACAGGAGAATGGAAAGTAAACAAGATGGAAAGATGACGGCTGCTACCAGAAGCAAGCCAGACAATCAACCAAGAAGGATTAGGTAGAAACACAGACGTGACCCAACATGAAAGGGGAAGCTGAAGAGCTGCGAGCTTTGGGCGTCACTGAGCCAAGACGGAGCAAGGATTTCCAAGTTCCCAGCAATTCCCGCTGCCCAGAAAGCAGAGGCTGGGAGCCCACGGCGAGGAGGCGTCCGTCTTGTCTGGGGAGGCGGGAATTGCTGTAATAAAGTGCAGTTAAAGAGCAATTCTCCTCCTCCTCAAGTACAATAAGACACCAAAAATGGAGGTGACCTAGAAAAGGCTTTCTCTCTCTTCTCCTCCCTTCTTTAAATCCTAAATGCTTCATATTAAGCATTAAGGTTAATGTTAATGCAGGGGGTGTCCCTAAGTTCCTGCAGCTGAAGTCTTCAAGGGGTGAAAATAAATTCTCTTTCCAATTCTTTTTGGCAACTCCTGGACATTCTAACACAAATTACCGGGTTTTTATGCAATCCCAGCCCTCGGACACGCACCCTTTATGGGAAACGTGCTTCCTAACCCTGGGAAAACAGAGAGCTCTGGTGGCAGAGCTCAGGAGCTTGCTGTCCCGTTTCTTGCCCCTCTTTCCCAATTTTATTGTCTGCTTTTAAAAACACCATTCGCCTGCCTAGGCACTGGTGAGCGAAGTTGCCAAAGGGTCACAAACCTTTTTCACTGTGGGCAATAAAATGTTTTTTCCCCACTAGCCTCTCAAACAAAGAGGACATTTCAAGAGACCGAGTCTCCTGTCACCCACCGAGGATGTTCCTCCACCTGCCTACGTGTTTCATCAGATCCACAGAGCCGCAGTGCTTGTCTCAAACACGTCAGGGCTTGAAACTTCCTCCTGACACCCGATTCCACACAAAGCTGCTCTCAGGCGGTAACACACAAAAGGAAACTCTACTCTTAGGTGCCCCACCATACACGCAGCTGCTTAGAATATGTTCTGTGCTATACACAGATACCAACTGCAATCGCTTGAACGGGAACCTTTCCTGTAAAAGTGAAGCTTTGTTCCATACACGAATATAAAGGGATACTACCAGCGTTCTGCTGGACAGCATGGGCTGAACTACCTGTGGATTTTCCCTTTTGAAAGGCCTACAAACAAGGAAACGTCTGACACGATCAGTCACGTTAACTGCTTAAAACACCCTCCTACCTTTAGCCAGGACTGGAGCTGAGGCTTCGTGGGACGCAGCAGGCGCACGGTGCAGAACCAGAGAGCCCCTTCTGGCCAGGAGCCCATCTCCATGCATGGCTCCAAGTTTCTCTCCCGGTGTCCAGGCACTAAATAAAGAATAAAAACAGGCACGGGTGAAGGTTCACCATTAGCACAGCTCTGCCGGCCCTACTGCCTGGCCTAGAGTGCGGCTGACCCAGGGAGTGCGAGTGGGAGAAAGGAGGGGCCCCCAGGCCCTGCAACCGGGGGGGAAACCCCACC